TGGCTTTCATAACAAACAAGTACATCGCTGCTGTCAGAAGAAAACCTTGTATGTCTTTTTTGACGTTTTTCAGTTTTTGACTTAATTTGAAAATGCCTGTTGTCCTTTACATTGTGTGTAAATTTCATGAAGAATGGACTAAAAGAAACGAAATGACTTGGAAAAAAGTCTGGTTCCATTGACTTACATTAAAAGTAAAGCAGGTTCTTTCCTTCTCCTGTAAAGTTACCATTTTGGAGATACGAGGTTTTGGTCCGACAACAGCGATATGCACCATCTTATGACTAACAGTTAATGACCTCGTGTTACAGTGGTGCATTATTGTCAGTGTGTTAAGGGTAAAATAGTGACTAAACCATATCATTTGGCCTTTTTATTTTACATGATCAAATGTTACTATTGGCTAGTCTAATATTAAACTCAACCAGCTGAACAAATTATTCTTGGTGCCGCTACATAAATAATAAGCTATCATTAGCTGAGGTTACAGCACAGTTTGAAATGGATTACAATGCAATCAATTTTAGTCTGTACCAATAACTCGTCTTAGATGTTGCTGAACTGTAAAATACCACAAAGTAAAACACATAAGGAGAGCATTTGCCTTATCTTCTCATTTCTTTTCAAACTTTTATCACAGCAATGCAGTCTTACTACTTTCCATGCTGTCGCCTCCTTAGCAATGACACCCTCGATTCCTAAAAAGTTGTTTCTTTACCTCCAACACGTCTTATTTTGATCATATAAAGGGGGCTACGGAAAAAACAGGGCTATATGGCCACTAGCCCGGACTAGCTTATAACAATAGAAGAACCCTTTTTGGTGCTGTACAGAGCCATTTTAAAAGAGGTTCTATATAGAACAGTACAAGAACCATTTCACCATGCAACAAAGCATTTAAGCATGCAAACTGTTCAATATACTCTATATAGAACCAATCCCTTTACTAAAAACCATTAAAGAACCATCTTTTTAAAGTATGTACCCTTTGCTGCTGCAACATTTAATTAATTATTTTAAAATGGAAATACCATAAGCTTAAAATGAACCATACTGAAAAAACAGGGCTATAGGCCACTAGCCTGGACCTTGTCTTGCCCCTGTAATCAACATTATATATAAACTCAGAAGACTCGTGTAGGTTCACTGGTAGTTCTGGATAGTAAATAAAATGCCTATATTTGTGTTGTCGTCATGACGACCCTGGTTCCTATCACCACCACTGTAAAGACATCTGAGTCTGTAAGTTTCTCTACAGTGAACCATTTCACACCAAACCACTCTGAATGACTGTTTACATCTCAATGATTGAATTATGCAGAATTTTTGACAAAACGGTTCCCTGTTAACTTCAGTAACCATTTAGCTTTGGTCCATTTTATGTTTTCCTATTATAAGCTGCAGTTTTTGGGGTCCCCACTCGCTTTAACCACTCCAATATATGGGGCACGGCCACTCATTAGAACCCAAAGAGGCGAAACTGACCAAAACACAAGCATCTGAACCCTCGTACTCCCTGCACAGCCCTCACAGTCCGTGAACAAAAACGTGGATGTGTGGAACAATGCCAGCCCTAAGGACTGGTACCCACTGCTTTCTGTTGCAGACTGGACCTTGAGCGCTCGCTAGCTCAGTTTATAACATGCTCACGACCTCACCACACAGCCGGAAAACACCCACGAGGGGGCTTCCGATGTGAAAAGAGACTTCAAATCAAGGAAAAAGACAACATCCAACTCTACACCCACTCTCAGGTGGGAGAAACCAAGGGCAGCGGACTGCTGAAGGGTCAGACTGAAGAACAGATGCTAACCAGGTCCAGCTGCATAATCAAAGGGGCCATGCTCTTATTTCTATTGGATAAAAGAGCTTGATGTACTATAGAATATAAACGTAAACTCTTCAACCTGCAAAATCAGCCTGGTCTGAATTCATCATGGCTGTGATGTCACAACCCTGGAGATTTGAATGAGTTAAAGAGGAAAAAGACAAAGATCGCCAATGTTGCCAATGGAGTTGAGGCGGCACTAAATTCCCACTGAGGTGATACTGCTGTCACTGGGCCTAACAGCACCCACCCCAAACGCCTGGCTGACAGCTATCTGTTCTCCTGCTTTTCAGTCTCTTCACTGAAGGCTGTAATGTTCTATGATGATAATCAATTCAGCTCCTCGTCATAATCTCTTCATATCCACTGAACCAGTATTATCGTTCACTCAAGGGAACAATGTGGAGTAATTGTCGTCGACAGGGCACATAAAAAAGGAAGAGTGATCTGTTCTCTTAATAAGCGGCTTGTATTTAACATCAGTGAATGTGGCGATGACATTCTAGATTAGCAGGTCTGACTGAGTATCAAAGCCTGCTGTAGGGCTTCGCCAGATCAGAGCCTTTAATGACCAGGATTTTAACCCTTCAGAGGCTTTTCCTCACTAAATCCACTGTTTTGATGAGAAAAGAAATTGCCAGGAAAAACGTGTTTACAGTGGCAAAGGTGTTTTTTACAGAGCCCTGCTGGTGACATCCCGTATAAATAAAAATAATGTGTGGCCACGACTTAGTAAGGTGTGAGAACAAGATAATTAAGTCATGGCCATTACTTAGTAAGGCATGGGAACAAGATAAATTGTGGCCACGACTTAGTAAGGTGTGGGAACAAGATAATTAGGTTGTGGCCGCAACTTAGTAAGCCATGGGAATGAGATATTTAAGACATGGCCAAAACTTAATCAGGCATGGGAACGAGCTGCTAATGTGTGGCCACAACTTAGTAAGGCATGGGAATGAGATAATTCAGTCATGGCCACGACTAAGTAAGGCATGGGAACGAGATGCTAATGTGTGGCCACAACTTAGTAAGGCATGGGAATAAGATAATTAAGACATGGCCAAAACTTAGTAAGGCATGGGACCGAGATCCTAATGTGTGGCCACAACTTAGTAAGGCATGGGAATGAGATAATTCAGTCATGGCCACGACTAAGTAAGGCATGGGAACGAGATGCTAATGTGTGGCCACAACTTAGTAAGGCATGGGAATAAGATAATTAAGACATGGTCAAAACTTAGTAAGGCATGGGACCGAGATCCTAATGTGTGGCCACAACTTAGTAAGGCATGGGAATGAGATAATTCAGTCATGGCCACGACTAAGTAAGGAATGGGAACGAGATGCTAATGTGTGACCACAACTTAGTAAGGCATGGGAATGAGATAATTCAGTCATGGCCACGACTAAGTAAGGCATGGGAACGAGATGCTAATGTGTGGCCACAACTTAGTAAGGCATGGGAATGAGATAATTAAGACATGGCCAAAACTTAGTCAGGTGTGGGAACAAGATCCTAATGTGTGGCCACAACATAGTAAGGCATAGGAATGAGTTAATTAAGACATGGCCACGACTTAGCAAAGCATGCGAACGAGATCATGCGTGGGAACGAGATCGTAATGCATGGCCACAACTTAGTAGAAATGGGAATGAGATCCTAATGCGCGGCCACAACTTAGTAAGGCATGGGAATGAGATAATTAAGATGTGGCCAAAACTTAGTCAAGCGTGGGACTGAGATCCTAATGCATAGCCACAACTTAGTAAAGCATGAGAATGAGATAATTAAGATGTGGCCAAGGCTTAGTTATCTCATTCCCATGCCTTACCAAATTGTGGCCACGCTTTAGGATCTCATTCCCATGTCTTACTAAGTTGTGGCCACACATTAAGATCTCATTCCCACACCTTACCAAGTCGTGGCCACACATTATTTTTATTTATACAGGATATCTCCAGCTGGGCTCTGTAGTTATTAGTTAAATCCCAGAGTTACTCTCTTTAAATAAAGAATTTCATTTTACCATTTGCATAAAAGCTGTTATCAGATATGAAGTGTGGTGCAAAGTTTGGGCGTCTCTGGTCAAAAGACATATTTTGTTGATTGTCTAAGTGAAAAAGAGAACTAATTTCTGTACATTTTAATGCACAATTACACTTTATTTATATTTTACATTTTTTCCAATATGTTAAACTCAGCAAATAACTGGAAATTGTGCACAAAATTCTATAGCAAATATCATATTTAAGTATTTAAGGGTGTTCTCTGTAGAGGATGTGTTGACTTAATTTCACTTAAAAAATTCATGAGATAATTTGACCAGTCATGTTCAAACTTTGCTGTAATATGTAAACAATGTTAAAGTTTCAAAAATGTACTGTACATTCTTCATATATATATATATATATATATATTTATATATATATATATATATATATCAGAAATGATGAATTTAAAAGAGGCAGTTTTTGCGCGGCTTAGATTATATATACATATATATATATATATATATATATATATATATATATATATATATATATATATATATATATATGTATATATAATCTAAGCCGCGCAAAAACTGCCTCTTTTAAATTCATCATTTCTGTAATGTTATGAAAACCAATTCATTTCCATACGTCCACTTATTCAGGCTACAGCAGTTTAGCTCCGCCCACACACACTGAAGTCATAAAGAGTGTTTCAGCCTGGACTGCTTTTTGAATGAGGCACAACAGAGGGCCAATCAGAACTGCAGTCATTTACATATATCAGTCTTAAAGACACTGTAACAAAAACGAGGTAAAGAGAGGCTGGAAATGGCTGTGAAAATTAGTTTCTGGTACATCAAACCACATAAATGTCATAAGACTATGGACACTTTTACAGCTTCTATCACACAATGTGAAGGACAGCTGGAACTGTGCTACGGTGTAAAATACATAATACAATCTGGAATAGAAACGGAAGTGGAGACAAGTTGTCTTAACACAGTGACAACACATTCAAATGAAGCTCAGAGTGAAAAAGCACAGCAGGCCGTGAAGCAGGAGGAGAAACGCTCTGTTGTTATTGACATGCAGTGTAAGCACTTAAAGTGTTCCCTCGTGTCCCGAAACCCTGGATAACCAGGGCTCAGTGAGTGTGTGCGCGCCGTGGCCTCGGTACCTGGAGTCAGCAGGATGACGGAGGTGACAATTAAAGAGCAGATGACCAGAATGACAAGCAGAGCAATCGCTATTCCCTTCCAGTTCCTCTGCGGAGGGTTACTGCCCACCAGCTCCTACAGACACAAAGAGAGAGAGAGAGAGAGAGAGAGAGAGAGAGAGAGAGAGAGAGAGAGAGAGAGAGAGAGAATGCAAATTAGAGCTTGCTCAAGGACAAACACGTGTAAGTCTATGTACTGCACTCCGAAGGAGAAAATCAGCCATCAGCCCGGACCAGCAGGAAGAATTTCCCACATTCTGTCATTACCGTTACAACAACAGTGACAGAAAAACAGCTGAATGCATTCATAGTAGTGGGAATAACTACAAGCTCCACAATGTGATAATAACAATTCAAACAATTTAATAAATGAACTACACTGCAGAAAATAGTACCGTGTCAAGTAAAAACATCTTAAATATAATCAATTACTCTAATATTTTTCCTGTTGAGATTGTTGTAAGCTTAATTTAAGATCGTTTACCTTATTTCTAGACATTATTTACTTGTTTTAAGCGATTTTATTAAGTAAAATTATCATTATTTTATATTGGCAGATAATTTTGCTTGTTTTAAGTAACATGCCTAAATAATGACTAGAAATAAGGTAAATAATCTTATAATAAGTGCACAACCATCTCAAAATAAGACATATATATATATATATATATATATATATATATATATATACACATACATACATACCGACTAGAATTAAGATGATTTCACTTGACAAGATGCCATTTTGCAGTGTAATACAATAATAATAATAATAATAATAATAATAATAATAGAAAGCTTTATTTATAGGGAGCCTTTCACGGGCATGAAGATGATTTACGATGCAAACATAAAGTAATAAAATACATAAAAAGCGCACAAAAGTTAGAGCTGATATTTTATGTTTATCATGCTAAATTCTGCTACTGTGATAAATAATATGCAATATCAATTTAGAACAAGACAACCCTTATAAAAGATTTATAATTAGTTTATTAATGGATACTAATTAGGTCACAAACATCTTAAAATCATTTATAAGCAGTTGCAAAATATAAATTAAAAGGACGACAGTGACCTGTTGCTTGCCAAATAGTGAGCCCATATTCATCTACACTATTAAACTTCAGATCTTGCCGTCTTCTCCATCAGTCAGCCTTAAACCTGTCGGCTTCATCAGATATTCATATTCATCAGCTCACTTTTGCCATTTTTGATGTATTATAAAAGTTAATTAATTAAATTATTTTAAAAACTTAACATGCTTATGACCCAACCATTAATAAACTTATTTTAAACCATTTATAAACTCTTTATAAGGGTAGTCTTTTCCTTCTGTGAGCATATTATGGACATCATCCATACTTGAACATTGACCAACTGCATGTTTCACAGCAAAAGAGCATAATCAGTCCTGTTTAATTGGATTAATGCAGTACAGAATGTGAAATATTGAAAAAAAACACTGTGCCCAGAGTTTTGATGGCAGTTTTTAATCATGGCACTATTAGTATGTTGTGTATATATCGATATGTATCATGTATTATTAAAGCATGTTTAATTATTGCAATATATTTTTGCCCTATCACTCAAAAGCATCCAAACCAGTGTGGGAAAAGATGCCACAAGCCACACATGCGTAGGCAATAGAGTATTACAATATGACACACTGTAATTTACTGCGACTTTATTATCATATTATTACTTTGCCTGCCAAAAGAAACTTTCTACATATTAACACTTCAAAGGTCTCATTGTAATTCAATTATTTAGGGATGCTTGAATGTATTGCAACTGCAATCTTGCCTGGAAGGAGAATCAAACTCTCCATCTTACAAGGTATGGTGGTGTTAGCCACTCTACTATCCACCCACTGTAATACTCCACAATCCTGTTTTGTTCTAAAATAAAATGAATGATATAGACAAAAAAACATCCACTCAGCGTACAAACAACTTCCTCCCAAAGCCACCACTGACTGATAGAGACACTGTAACGATCACCACGACACTGTGATGGCAGAATGCTGACCGTGGTGGTGGGTCACTACCTTAGTCATGCATATTTTTATTTTTCTATTGTTTTTCCCATTAGCACAGCTACATAAAGAGCAAAGTGAAAACAGTGCCATTTTTGCACTGCACTGCTGCTGCTCCTGTGTTAATCGATGTGGCCTTTTATTACCGGTTGCACTTGACAAACAGCACACAAATTGTACAGAAATTGCACAAAATGCTTCTGCGATGTTTGTCACTTGCAACTGGCGTAAAAACAAAAGTGTCACAAAAATGTTCCACTTTGCTTCTGCTGCATTTGCCTAATTTGTGCACTTGCTACTTTATATTCAGTGACACGCAGCATGCAGTAGACTAACAAGAAGTTCATCTAAAACAAATGTATAAATAGGCCTATTTGTTTAAATATCAAACACAGTATGCTACCCTAACATGCCGTCCCTGGGTTTCTGATGGTGGGATTGCATAGTGTGGAGGTAAGACACCCAAACAATGTGCCAATGCAACATATTTTCCTTTTAGTCTACACTCTCAGAAAGAAAGGCAGTAAACTGTCACTGGGGTGGTTCCCCTCTTATCACTGGGGTGGAACCCTCAAGGGTACATCTCAGTACCTTTAGTCAGGTAGCCTTATTTTATTGTCCTGTTTTAAAACATTCGGTTATGAAAATGTACAAATTCATACTTTTAACCTGGAAAAACTTATTTAAGGTTCACAATCTGACCTTAAAACCACTGTTGTACCTTTGAGGGAACATTTACGTTGTTTGTACCTCGATGAACGAAAAATGTACCTGCACAGAACCTTTATTTCTAACAGTATATCAAGGGGCTTTACACATTAAAAATAATAATTACATTAAGAAATCATCAATATTGGATTTGATTCCTTCAATGTATCAACTATTTTTCATGTAAAATATCATAATACTATGATGTATCGATTTTTCTTGTCCCTCCTGGTAATTCATGACCTTGCTCCTGAGCAAAATTACGGAAATTATGGCTGAAATAAGATTTGTGGTTATGAAAAGCCTGGGGGCCTTTTTCAGACTCGGCATTATAGTCAAGAATATTAAGCCATTACAAAAGTTCATGTTTAATGTACACTGAGATGGAATAACAGAGCTGATCTCAAGCGGATTTGCCTAATGAAAGTCAAACCACACTGGAGAGAGAAAAAAAAAAAAGTGATGCATTGAATTTGCCTGATTCAAATGCGTACATTATTCCCATTTTAATAAAATATATTACATCAACATCGATTTATCTTGCAGTTTTTTTTTTACATATTTTTGTCAATAGAGATGTTCATGTAATGTATTTTATTTATATGGAAATGATGTACTCATCACTTTATTCCTGCGCTTCTGATCGGAGAGACTTCAAACCGAGACGTAAATATTTTCGCCCCGAGCCGTAAATGAGACAGAATGACAAAGTGGCGGAACGTCCGGAAACATCCAAGATATGACAGAAGGAAAAAAGCCAATTCGGCTTGATCAGGAATCAAAAAGCGAGGAATCAAAAATAGAGTCAGTTATGACAAGCGCACGTCAAGCGAGTCATTGGTGCGTTCATAATCAAAGACGCGCTGTGATTAATTTTGAGGGATTTGGTCTGAAAGCCAGGCGGGCTGGGGGGGCTACTCTGACGTGTTTTCGAGAAAGAAAAACCGTCGCTAAGACAAATGAAAGAGACTCTGTCTCCCTGGTGTTGCAAAGCGTGACCCATGGCCTTGCTGCCTGAGGTTTTCATTAGGCTAAAGCAGGCCTGACGGAGTGGAATAGTAGCCGCCGCCGCATCAGCCACTGGATTGGACTGCTAAAAGCTGAGCTGTTAGTGACCTTGTTGCCGTCCTAATTGAATGGCGCAGCAGACATCATTAGCCCAGAGATAACGGCAGCCAGGTCCTGTTTACTGGGACAGCCATTAGAAAGACTCATTACGGAGCGAACTCGACTCTGAATGAGTGTGCGCGTGTCTGACTCTCTTTCAGGTCACTTAGGCAGACAGTGGCACACAAACACTAACAGCACTGAACTGTAGGGCTGCATAATACGGCGTTTAAAAGTAGTTATCGCAATGTGTTACTTTCTCATCGTCATCTGATCTGGTGTGATGCTGCATACAGCTGTAGAATGAAACATATTCAGCAAATAATCAATAAGCAAATGATCACACATCACACTCTCCATGTTCAAGAAATACAATACTTCTACTCAGCACAGTCATTTTAATGACCACAGGGAAGCAGCTGATCACTCAGATGGCTTAACTGTTTGTGCAATTGCATTATTTTTCTATTTTTTTCAATTTTCATCACTGTTTTCTCACAATCTAGTCAGTTAAGGATGCACAATGATGCCAGAATCACATCAGGATTGGCAGATAATTGCTTTAGACAAAATTATCACCATCCGACAGATGTTTACATTTGAGTGATATTTCAAACTGTTATTTGATTATTTGTTTATTGAACTCTGAAGAGGAGAAAGTTTGGCTACTGCACTAAAATACCTGCATATATATATATATATATATATATATATATATATATATATATAACTGCTGAACCACTCTCTCTCTCTCTCTCTCTCTCTATATATATATATATATATATATATAGAGAGAGAGAGAGAGAGAGAGAGAGAGAGAGCAGTTCAGCTGTTCCATGATTAGCTTGATTAGATTCTTACAGTAGAGGCTCTCAAGGAGAACTAGAGGTTTCCACTTTGCTGTTGCTTTTGTTAGTTTGCTGCTTGTTGATTTATCTACAGTTCTCCTGTGAGATGCTGAAGGAATCACTTTACAAGCCATTTAAAAGCTGTATTTGAATGAAAGGGCTACATGGATTCTATCATAACCATAATTCTATCATACAGCGCGCTGCAGCTGGTAACTACTTTGGATGGTTCAGAGGGTCATTCTAGGAAAATGCTTTAATTGCATTAAAACACGTTAATCATTTGTCTTGTTAATGCATTAATAATGTCTTAACTTTGACATCTGGCTCCCCAAAATAAATACATTAATTAACCTTTTAGGGGAAAAATAAGAG